AAATTACTTAAGACTGGCAGAATGCGCGAGGTTGAACGAAGGACAGCCTTAATCAGTCCACAACCGACCTCCTTCCTTAGTACAAATATATATCACTCTATCACTGCGCACTCTTAAGGTGCCTTTTCACGCTGACGCTCGACGCTCATTTTTAGCGTCCAAATATGTCACGTGAACAAAGTTGACGCTGGATGTGAGAAATGCATGAAAAGAGTTTCTCGTAAAATTTAGCGTCAGTCAGCGGTCTGCGTCGGTATTCATCAATATTTGTATATATCAAAACTGCTAAAAGTTTTTGTCACTGATTTTGTTCAGTTAATTTTTTCACTTGCTTTATTAATAATTACTGTTTTAAATATTAAAAAAAGTGTAATTAAGTAGGAATAAGATAAAAACCTTTGGTTACCAGTTCTACTTATTTTATCGAAAATGCTAAAAAATGTTTATTAATAATTTTTTTATTATATGTAATATTTTTTATTATATGTTTACAAACATAAAATATTTACTTCATATCATATTATTTATTTTGATAAGTATACAAAATGTATTTGTATTTTGTCTTGTTGCTTCTATCTGTAAGAGACAAGTCTTCATTTGTTCAATGGTCATTTCTGGACCTGTTTGACCTTTTACAATATATGCCGTTCTCAGCTCCGGGCTGGAGTCAGACACTGCATTGTAGAAGGCAGCTCTTATTTCTTTTTCAGTTAGTTCTATTTCGGAATTGCAAATTTCGTATTCTCTTATGATATTGTCAAATCTATCGAAGAAATCAACCGCTTTTTCTTTTTGTGACTTTTTAATGCTATAGAGTTTTTGTCTTAAGGTGCAAATTCATGGGACGCTCGTTTCAGCGTTGCCCATAGTCACGTGACTTCGAGTTGACGCTAGCGTCAAGAAAAAAAAGCTGGATTTTTTTAGCTTTAGCGTCAAGTCGTGCGATCTGTGCGATGATCTGTCTGTGCGTGCTATTCGCTATTGGATTTGCATATGTCTCATGTGGTCTTTTAACCTTGTCAATAAAAATGGATGTTATTTAAGTAATAAAAAATAATAATTGAATTTATTATCCAATACTACATATATATAAAAAATAAAAGAATG